CGCGAGCCTACTATGAGGCTCGCGAGCCTACTTTGAGGCTCGAGCCAGGCCTTAGTTGGGCTTGGCTCGCGAGCCTAAGGCTCGCGAGCCTATGAGCCTATAATATCAGGCTCGGCTCGGCTTGGATCGGCTCGGCTCGCTAGGCTCGCGAGCCTTAAGGCCTATGAGGAGCTTTAGGTGTCTGATATTCTCTATTTCAACTAGTCTTAGTTAATTGTTATAGTGTTTAAAGTCTATAAATACAATTTTCACTACTGGTCACTTAGTTTTCTTTGACTTGTTTAGAAGGTAAACCAAAGTTAATAATGGATAATTACTACTAGCTTGTCAAACTATTTCTTTTACTCAGTTGTTATATTCAAGAGAAAATATGTTAATAAACTATTCAATTGTATAATACTATTCACATAAAATTAATAAACTATTTTACAAATCTAAATATTATTCAAAAGAATTCAAAATTTCACAAAACTAATAATTAAAATACTAATAAAATATCTCTTAATTAAAATAAAAAAGGAGTTTGATATCTTACAGTCATTATCAAATTATTATCCATATAAACCTTCTACAATTTACAAAGACAACGGGATAAAATAATACTAAAACTAATAAACAAAACTAAGTATAACTATAAGAATTACTAATTTCAAAGTAAAATAATTACAATATAAGGTTTATACATAGAAGGAATTATGTACGATAATTATGAAAGAGGTGTATTTACTATTAACAGTGATATGAAGACTTATTAATAGGAGCAAATTGCTCATATTTTGAGTTGCATGTTACATATAAACTTATATCAAATTCTATACTGAAATTATTTTCATACTCAAATTTTTTATTTGCTTCCTGAAAAAATATAAGTTGAACCAAGTGAATTGTACTTGTGACATGTCTGTTGTAAACTTTGTGTCCTTTTTTGAATTGGTCAATGTTTGTATCTGTACATGAAGGTTTTTTTGTTAAATTACAATTGCACTTCTTCTGTGATAACTTCACAAAGCAGTACAAACATTTTTGGCAATTGTAACAGGTTCCTATTTTGTAAATTGGAGACATGTAATGATATAAAAGCTACTTTGATGAAGATATACTTGAAAAAATAAGTCAAACATGTGTGTATGTGAAAAAAAAATGTTTTTTTATTGATTTTATTGATCACAATGGTAAATAGATCTATAAATTTTATTGGCCAAAATTAATCACATGTGTTATCATGTGATTGACTTCTTCACTGATCAAAATATTTATTTTGAGATAATTGGTTATCAAGACAATTTCGAAAATAGTGAAAAATGGTTATTAAAATAAAAATATATTTAGTGAAAAATATTTGTGTTTATAAAGTGAAAAATAGAATGGTATGTTTATTTATTGTTATTTTAATTATCTCCCCAAGTTTTTTTTTTGTGGTGGTGAAATTTTTGATAAAAGAAGTGATAATTCTACATGAAAAGGGTAAGGATTGGTTTGTATTTTTTGACTTTGTACTTTTATTTTGAATATGAATATAGCAAAAACTCGAAATTATCATAGTGAAAAATAATTTAATATCAAAAAGATTATAAGAAGTGAATTGATAATGTCAAAAATTTTTTTTTGAATTTTTTGAATTTAAATATTCAAAGATTAATTATTATTATTATAATTATTTATATCTTCTTTTGAAGAATAAATATCAATATTGCAAGTATTGTGAGTATTGTGAGTATTGTGAGTATGGAATTTATTAATTGTATTAATGGCATCCATCTTTTAATTCTTTAATTTTTATTACTACAAAAAATTTGTTCAAGTTGATTCTTGGACATTTTTATAGTTTTTCAATTTAATTATTATTTTATTAACTAATAATACTGTGCACAATACGAAATACATAATACAATAACGCAGAAAAATTTGTGGATATGGATAAAAAAACAAAAATAGATCAATAATCTTTTGTTGGAAATTTTTTATTTATGAATTATTGATTAACTGGTATAATTGATTAACCCAAATAAACTTATTATACTGACTGCGTAAACTTTACAATGTTTTAATTTAGAGAATCTGATAAATTAAATAATAATAATAATAATAATAATGCCATTCAGTAATTATTATTATAAATTTATTAGGCGAAGTTATAGTGGAACTAGAGGAGGTCGCAATGGTGGAGGTCGGTGTGAAACAACAGGTCATGGGAGAGGAGGTAAATTAATAATAAATATTCATTAAAAAATTTATTTTCGTGAAGAGATAAATACTTTATGCATGATTCATTTAAAAAATCTTTTAGGTGGTCTAAAACGTGAACTTGGATGAAAAAAAGACATTTTGAGGAATAATTATGTTACAACTAACTGGCATATCAATTGACAACGAGTAATAATTAATAACAAAAGGTTTCAAATTTAATGAAAGAAACTGAAGAAAAAAAATTTTTGTAATCTTTTTTCTTTAAAGACTCGAGGCTCACATTAAGAAATGAAATTCACTGATTCATTTTTAGAAATGTGGCATAAAAAATACATAATTGAAATATCTGAAATATAGTTTTACGAATTTTGGTAAAGCAAAATATAACAAGGATATATATATATATATATTTTATATACTTATAATTAATAAATTGCTAATTATTAATGATATAAGAAGTTTATATTAATAAATTTAATTATCAAATAGTTTTCAGACCTTACACAAAACGGATTTTTATCATAGAGTATTGATTTTTTCTGAAATATTCCGCAACGCAATTTGGTTACGGATTATTATTTTTTTGTTTTATTGTTTAACAAGAATCAAAAAATTGGGTTAGTAGAAAAATTTCGGATGATTTTTTTTGTTATTCACTATCTATCACACTAAAAATAAATGAAAAAGAAATTGTCACTTACAATACATTAGTCAACATTTTTTTTTCTCTCAACCGCAATCTTGGAATTTTGCGCATCGAATAATAATTTATGCGAACACAAAACACAAGTCGAGTTTGTGTGATGGATTGATTTATTTTTGGTTTTGCTAAACAAACAATTACAAATTCGTCTCACGTGTAGAATCTCAATGAGTTTTGATAGATTTCGGAGAACATATAAATATTCCTCCTCCTCCTCTTGTGCGCACTTAGGTACTTCCCATTGGTCTTTAGTTGACTCATTTTTCACTTGACTTATTTTATCTCGAAGGTTAACTAATAACACTATGTGCACAATACAAGGCGCTAATATAGTAAGCCCAAAAATAAGAATACCAATATACGTACAAAGTTCATTAATAATTTTAAAAGTATTTGCAGAACAAAGTGAAATTATAAAATCTGCGTTATTCGGATCGGCAACATTGTTGACCTTAATAATATCGACAATAATCCAATATCATACCAATAACCTACATTATTTATTTCAATTAGAAGTAACTTATTTAGTGGTACTATTATTAATTGTAACATGTTACGCTTTTATAAACCCAGCTACATTACCTAAAAATAAGACTTCTTCAGTACTAGGACTGATAGTCTCGTTAGTTTCCTTGCTGACAATATGCTATTGTATATGGTTATGGGCAACTATTAGATGGAAGTTACCTGGACAAGAGTGTGGTGATAAAGTGATGTTTTTTTGGCTAAAAAGATCACTCAATCCAACTGGATGGGTGCGAGACTTCATGTTAGCAGTCTTAGGTATTATCTTATTACTAATACTTGTAAAGATTATTTATTATGTACATGCGTTAATGACTTGGGAGGAAGAAGCAGTAGCAGCAGAAGAAAGAAATGTGGAAGAAGAAAATCGAAGGAGATCCATCCGTGCATTAAGATGGAGGGTTTTGTTTTCAGCAATACCCACCTTAGTGCTGGTAATAGTATCAGCTGAAATATTATTACAAAGAAATCCAATATCAGAAATACAGGGGAACTGGAATGTTGAAGGAATAATTATTCTAATAATGGCTGGAGGAGATGCAATATCTACAATATTTTTATTATTAAAAACGTATATATAGACATTATGACATTGCTTATTTTGACATCTATATATTAATATAATAACATAATACTTATATTAACAAATGTATAGTAGACAGTACAAAAAATTAGTACATACAGTTTTGTACAATGATATTTAACTCTTTAAAAATGGAAATTTCACTTTCTTCTAACTTTTTATTTTGATCGTTGATTTAAGGTTAAAAAGAAATTAAGTCAAGAACAGGAACAAGAACAAGTTCAGATCTAAAGGAAATTCATAGACCATATTTGCATTTTGAATCAAAATTAAAGAATAAGAATAAAGTAAAATATATAAATATTTATTTTTATATTATTAAATAATAGAAAATAAAACTCTAATTTACAATACAAATTGTATGATGTAATAGCAATAATTCTGTAAATTTTATATTATAAAAATTTACTATATTAAATTATCGAATGCCAAAATAAACTCACTAAAGTTACAACTTAATAAATTTGGAGTTGGAATTAACATAAATTTGTATAATGGAAAATGCATCGTTAATTTATTTAATAAATTATTTTATACTTTGATATTTAGGCTAAATTATTTATTGTTTATTTAGAGAAGTATATGATCGAGAATATGGTAAATGTTGATTAAATTAATTAACGAATTTGTTAATTAAATTAATTGATAACTTATACATTTTTGACCTAAACTTATAAAATTGTAATTATATAAAGAAAATGAAATACTACATTATTTATTTTTTAGAATTTATTTACGGAAATATACAGTAATTGATAATACAGAAACAAGATTTTATTTCGCCTATCAAGAGAGTATTATCACATAAAAAATAATGATAATTTGGATATTATTTTAAGCGCGTACATCATCATAGAAATGTAATTATTTATTAATATCATCCTTGATTATTTATTAACTAAAGTTCTTCCTTTCTAGTATAATAAACAAATAAATATTAAAAAAATAAATGAAACAACAATATTTGTCATTAGAAGAAAGAAATAAATGAGTTTTCGTGGGTTTTGAGGTCAGGTGACAAATCAAACACTTTCTACACAACATATAGATCTTCAATTGTGATGGATAAAATGACATTCCGAAAATTTAGCAGATATTAGAGATATTTTTTCGGATCAAAATCATTAACCCTCTCCGATTGTTGATTTTCGATTCTTATTTTCCATAAAATATAAGTTGTGCGATTGTATTACAGTTCTAATAAACTCATTTTGTCACAATCAGCATTTTAAATTTAGTATAAATTTAGTTTTAAAAAATTTTCATGAAAAATTTTCATGTGGTCGGATACTTTGGGGGCCGAGTGAGATAGCCTTGAATCTCTCTTATAATGGAGGGAGAAACTCTGACCTCTTATTGTTTTTATTATTTATTGATGTCTCGATGACAATACTATAGTGTATAATATCTGAATTTCTAAAATTTTAATAATATTTTTTTTACAGTAAGTTTACTACATAACATAAGTATTTCATTGATTCTAATTTTCAATTCTTCGATAATTTGCAAAAAAGAAAAATGGTTTAAATTTTTTTGAAAAATTATCCCAAAATTTTTATTAAACATCTTAACAATAAATATAATTACAAATTCAAGTTAAAAATAAAATAAAAAAATCTATCGTCTTATTTCAGTAAGGAATTAGAATAATATTAAAATAATTACGAAGTCAAGTATTTCTGCTCAAATTTTTGATGATATTCTTAAGTAAGCTACTATCAATTATAAAAATTTTATAGTTACGTATATATTGGAAATTTTAATTAATTATTTATTTATTTTATGCTGGTGGGATTATTAATTTAGAAAACGTTGAAACCATATTTATTTTTGACTTAATGTTAGATTGCGGAATTATCCAACATATTAGAAACTATTCTTATTGAAGATAAAGCTTCTTGGTAGAAACTCATTTTTCATTCGTTTATCATACTGTTTTTGACAAAGAAAACTTTAAAAATTTAAAAAAAATTTGTAAAAATATTGTTATCTCTTCTCAAACGAGACGATTTGCAAATGAAAGAAACTTAAATTTGGGATTATGTTATTATTATCAAGTGGGGAATTGCTCAGAATCCTGCTCTCCCTACTAGCCTTACAAAGGTAATTTTCTCATATTAAAAACTACATTACAGCATGTCTACCACTTATTCGTTATTTTCACCTTTCAGTTGATGAAGTCTTAGATTCAATTAAACTTTATAAAAAAATTATTGATAAACTACTTTGGGAAGATATCAATCAGCATTTAGTAGCTCCTGAACGATCAGTAGAATCAATTATCTTACCAGCAAGATCAGTTTTGGTTACTGAATCACCTCGTACAATGAACCAAAAGAACTACGTGTTTACTCCACAAAAATTTTGGAATATTTGCCACGATACGCTTATACAGTTGTTTGTCGCGAAAATTAAAGGAACTGATGAAATTATTGGAGGAATAAATTGATGCCTAAAAATTTGATTAATTTCAAAACAATGATAATTTTGCTTATACATAAGTATTTCTAATATTTAATACGTAAATTCATTGTCTTATGTTTCTTTTATCCATTGTTTTTAATAAATATTTTTGATTTCCTAATTATTAATAGATTAAAAAAATAAAGATAACATTACGTTAATAATATTAATGTTTTTTTATATATTGAACGATCGTACAGTATAATGTAACAACAATATATAAATATTTTTTTTTTTTTTAAAAAAAAAAGAAATCATTCAAAAAGAGATTATTATTATTTTTATTGATAATATATACTTATGTACTGTATATATTCTAACCTAAACTTATAAAATAATAAGTTCGATTCAAAATAAGTGACAAAATTAAATAATAATAATTATTAATACGAAATGTTTGTGAAATCTATAAAAATAATGTTTACTTAATAAAGCAGCCCTTCAAATAATCTTATTTTAAGAAATTATTTACAATATAAAATATGTTAGGCATAGACAATGGATAATACAGAATAATATTTTATTTCGTCTAATAATTATAATACGAATATGATTATACAGTATATTCGTCATCAAAGAAATATTAGTAATATAAGAAAATCTGAAGTTCATAAAGAAAGAATTAAAATCTTTAGAATAATTATTTTATTCGCTATATAGAGAAATTTCGTGACGATATCGCAAAATAAATTCGTGTAATCAATAATATTTTCATATCATTATCCCATTTTATTCGTTCAAATAAATTTAATTAATTGTCTATTTTACTATGTAAATAATTACAAACTAACAATGATAATTCTTCCCTCCTTTCCCTTTTCTCAAAAATAAATATTCAAAGAAAAAACAAAATATGAATTATCCTTTTCCTAAAATAAAACAATACCCGAGATTTTCATTTGGTGATTATTATTTTGTGACATCTTAAAGTTTAGCATTATAAATTAGAAAACTCAACATACTAAGTTACCAACTTTTATTATTAAATTTAATATTTTAGATATGCAATATTAATTTCTCAATTATTATACTAGTGGATTTTTTTTTTTAGTTGACATTGAAATTTCACTGCAAAATTAGTCATATATTATATATTAACAATTATTGGTAATTCAATTGTTTTTTATTTTAAAGTTCGATTCAATAAATAAGAAAATACACAAATATATTATTTTAAAGAAAAAAATCAATAGTCGAAAAATTATCCGGAATTTAGCAGTTATAAAAGTGTATTCAAATAAGACTAATATCTAAGAATGAAAAATTTAATGTTAAATGAATTGAATGCGTGAAAGAAATTAGTTACAGTGCATAAGAAAGTCTTTGGACAACTTCACGTGTTAATTATTAAAAAATGAATAATCTAATAATTGTAAATTTAAAATAATTATTGAAGTAAATTAATTAATTTTCGCGAAATAAAAAATTAAATACAATGAATGATAAATTCATTAAATAAAGAATGATATAATAAATTATGCTTTTCAATTCAAAAAAAAAAATATTTAATCCCATTCAAAAGACATTTTGAGTAATAATTATGCAATACTTACAACTGACAACGAGTATAATTAATAACTAAAGATTATTTGCAAATATCTTGTTATGTTGGATTTTTTATTGGCAAAAGCTTCTTTTCAGAAAGATTCTTTGCAAGAGATTACTTCAAATTTAATGAAAGAAACTGAAGAAAAAAAATTTTATCTATAAAACTCGAGACTCGTATTAATTTAAAATATTTGAGATATTGTTTTATAAATTTTGGCAAAAGTAAAATATATAACAAGGATTATAGTATATATACTTAAAATAATTTGCTAATTTATTAACGTTATAAGAAGTTTTCGAAATAACCACATAATTATCAAATAGTTTGTCTTTAATTTATGGTGTTACACATTATTTTTTTTTTCTTGCCTACTATCTAACATACTAAAATAAATGAAAAAGAAATGATCACTTGCAATACATCAGTCAACAATTAAAGGTATCCATTTTTTTTTCTCATTAAATTATCTACCGCAATCTTGGAATTTTATCAAATAATAATTTGTTTGATGCGAAATCGGTTTAATTAAGAATGAAAAACACAAATCGAGTTTGTGTGATGACACCTGCGGCTAATCTATTTTTAGTTTTTGCTAAACAAATAATTACAAATTCGTAATACAGTACGTGTGTAGGATGAGTTTTAATAAATTTCGGAGAATGTATAAATATTCGTCTTACTTAGATACTTCTATTGGTCTTTGGTTGACTCATTTTTATTTTATCTCGAACGTTAACTAATATCACTATGTGCACAATACAAGGTGCTGATATAGTAAGCCCAAAAATAAGAATAACAATATACGTACAAAGTTTATTAATAATTTTAAAAGTATTTGCGGAACAGAACAAACTTATTAAATCTGCGTTATTCGGATCGGCAACATTGTTAACCTTGATAATATCGACAATAATCCAATATCAAACCAATAACCTACATTATTTATTTCAATTAGAAGTAACTTATTTAGCAGTACTATTATTAAT